CCCTGTTGTTTCTTCAGCATTTTTCCCCTGTGCTCTTAGCTTTCTGTTTTTGATCAACAGTTACGTATTTTAAAATGTTTAGATTAATATATTAATGTTTATATTAATTCACATGTTATTTAAAACCTAATGTTATTAAATTATTATTATTAGTTTTATTTATATGCCATATTTCTCCCAACAAGGGACCCAAAGCAGCTCAAGACATTGAAATTCACACAATTAAAAAAAACCAATAAATTAAATATTAAAAGATAAATTAAACAATATGCAATTTAAAATACAATTAAAAGATTAAAACATAAAAACATTAAAAAGATTAAAATTATTTAATAAAATGGGGTTTAGGGATTCAGTTATAGTTGTTAAAAGCCTGTCTGAAGAGATGGGTCTTCAGCTTTTTTCGAAAGGACAACAGGGAAGGGGCCATCCTGATCTACTGAGGGAGAGCTGTCCATAATCTGGGAGCTGCCACAGAGAAGGCCCTCTCCCATGTCCCCATCAGCTGAGGAGAGTCTCCTTTGCTGATTGTAATTGCTGAGAAGGCACATATAGGGAGATACAGTCCTTCAGGTAGCCTGGACCCAAGCGGTATAGAGCTTTATAGGTAATGACCAGTATTACCTTCAGCTGCTGACGAAAAAGAAAGCAAATGATTTTATGCAACTACCCAGAAGGAAATGGATCACACTTCAGAATAGGACAATAATCATAGGTGACTGGAATGCAAAAGTAGGAAATAAAGCAGAACTAAACATTATTAGAGAATTTGGCCTCAGAGTTAGAAATTAAGCAGAAAAGTGACTCGTACAGTTTTGTGAAATGAACAATCTTTTTATTGGAAATGTGTTTGGCCTCGACATGTGATATGAAAATAAGTAGAGGCCATCAGGTAGTCTGGACCCAAGCGGTATAGGGCTTTATAGGTAATGACCAGCATTACCTTCAGCTGCTGAAGAAAAAGAAAGCAAATGATTTTATGCAACTACCCAGAAGGAAATGGATCATACTTCAGAACAGGACAATAATCATAGGTGACTGGAATGCAAAAGTAGGAAATAAAGCAGAACCAAACATTATTAGAGAATTTGGCCTCAGAGTTAGAAATTAAGCAGAAAAGTGACTCGTACAGTTTTGTGAAACGAGCAATCTTTTTATTGGAAATGTGTGATTCAAACAACCAAAGAGATAGTTATACACATGGATATCGCTATATGGCCAATATAGGTATCAAGGAGGTTACATAACTGGAAGTACAGTCATGCCCCGCTTTACAATTACCCCATTTAACGACGAATCCGCTTGACGGAAAAAATGAATGCAACTTCTCAGTTACTGTCATGTAGAGGCAAAGAAAAAAGTTAGAATGATTGGAGCAAAGAAGAAGATCATGACAAAAGAGGAAGAAAGGAGAGATCTTATCCATAAAATCTAAAAAATCAAATGGAAATTTAAACATAGATTAGGGATGTTGAAGAATCAACAGCAAAAAATACTACCTAACCAGAACAAAATAAAGTGAAGGTGGAACAAATATATTGAAGAAGTATACAAGTGAGAAGAAAAAATGACAGATTCCTTTGTTAAAGAATCAGATAATGAATAATGATAGGTCCTTCACTCAAGAAATCAGAAGGAGACATGGAACAGCAGCTTTAAAAGAACTAGGCAAGATCTAGTTTAAGAACATGCCACTGGAGATCAAGACCAAGATCAAAGCTATTGTATTGCCAAATACTATGTGTGGTTGTGAAAGCTGGACAATTTAGAAAGTTGTCGGGAAACAAAGGAATTTGAAATGTACTGCTGAAGGAGAGGTTTTGAATACCACAGATAAACAGAAAGATAAAAAATCTTGGTAAATGGTTCCGATCCATACTTATTGGCAGGTAGTTTTGACTTAAGATTTCAATGCTGTAGGGATGCAGTGGCACTGTGGGTTAAACCGCTGAAGCCTCTGTGCTGCAAGGTCAGAAGACCAGCAGTCGTAAGATCGAATCCACTGGATGGAGTGAGCTCCCGTCGCTTGTCCAAGCTCCTGCCAACCTAGCAGTTCGAAAGCATGTAAAAATGCGAGTAGATAAATAGGTATCACCTCGGTGGGAAGGTAACGGCGTTCCGTGTCTAGTCGTGAAGGCCACGTGACCATGGAAACTGTTTTTGGACAAACGCTGGCTCTATGGCTTGGAAATGGGGATGAGCACCATGTCCTAGAATTGGACACGACTGGACTAAATGTCAAGGGGAACCTTTACCTTTCTATGCGATACAATACTTTTTATTTTGACAGGTGCTTTTTTGCAACTCTTGGTAAATGGTTCTGATCCATACTTGTTGGCAAGTGGTTTTGACTTACAATACTTTTTATTTTGACAGGTGCTTTTTTGTTATACACTCCTTGGTGTGGTCTTGTGTTATGCTTTCAAGTAGGATGAAATTTTCCCATATGCTTATATATGATTGTTTTCAGGAGGTTCGTTCCTACTGCACATAGCTTAGCTTTCTTATTCAAGTTTATCCTTTCCCAATTGCTATTACTTTTGTTAAGTATCTTCTGTTCTCCTATGCCCCCTTGAAAACCAAATTTTGGTGTGGTTATTTCAAAGAACTTCAGTATTTTATCCTATATCATCTCTCTTGATTACTTGGTTATTTGATTCTAGTTTTGGTAGCAAACTGGGGTTGCCTTGCTTGTTGCTGTAAAAACTAGGGATATTTAATAAGGTCTAGCTTTCTCCTGGCTTTAGTCAGGTTAGACAGACATAATCAAGGCAATTATCCATTGTCTGTTTTGGGCTTTGACCTAGAGATACCTCCTAGCCCATGGCCATCTTTTTCACTATCTGGGCAGAGTAGGTTTCCACCTATTTTACCTGTGAGCTTGAAGCAATTAACTATTTCTCCCCCCTCCCCTCATTGTTGGTAAATGGTTCTTAAATATAATCAGAGGTTGTACCTCCTTCTTGTAGAGTGGACAAATCTGACAACTTTATCTGCTAAGAATAAATTAATTCCTTTTTCTTGCTTTTTCCTCTGTGCATAAGAATTACTGATATAGATCAGATAAGGTCCATTGCATCCACTATCTTGCTTCCAAATAGCCAGCCAGATGTCTCTAAGAAGGATAAAGCCTGGACTGTGTGTTTTCTCCCAGATCTTGGTTGTCAAAGGCAATGGCCTTTTCAGAAGAATAAATTGTTCTTTCATAGCTAATAGCTTTTGAAAGGAACCTGTTGTCTTGTTATGTGTTTCAAAAAGCTATGTAAGTTATTGACAATCACCAGTTACTTACAATCAAGTCATTTCCTCAGATTCTCATTTTTTTCTAATTAAAAAAAAACACAGTATCATAATTATTTCTTCATATAGAGCAGGAACCAGCCTCTGAACAAATTTACTACCGTTATCTATACTTTTCCATTTTTGTGATCTTTTCAATATGTGTTCTGAATGTCTGGTGTAGGTACCTCTCATGTTTGCACCTGGGGCACCATAGTCTTGAGAGAATGGACAACTGCTGGCATTCAAGATAACATTACATATACTGTAGTCACAAGTACAGCTAGTGCTACATAGTGGTTAAGAGAAGATATGAAAAACAGGTGATTGAAATCTGAGCCTAGTCATGAATTTCCTGTGTGACCCTGGGCAATTCACCATTCCGTTACTCACACCACTGCCACCATCTTAATATGGGGATGATAATCCTGACCTTCCATACAAAATCCTTGCTAGGATTTGTAAAGAATTTGCAAAGTGCAGTAAGCATTTATGAAAAATGTAGTACAAATTCTGTGTTCTCTAATTTTTGCTTGACAAATAAATACTAATTAATACAGGGTGTGAAATGTGGAATATCCCATTCACATCAGCTAGGCATCCACATCTTTATATTTGCTTTAATCATTTTTAATTATATTTTGTTTGTTAAAATTTAGTAAGGATTTATTTAAGCACATTTTTCTGGTTTAGAAATTTTACTCTGATGTATTTGTTATAATGTTCCGCCTCTAATTTACATATACAGGGTATGATCTTCAATTATTGCCTGTTATCATCATCAAAGGATGTTTATATTTCAGATTACTGAGTTTGTTACTTTTCTTACAATTCTTTCCCCTAGAATCATGTTTCTGAAAGCAAAGTATTGATTCATATAAAATAATTATATTCTTCCCTTTCAGTCTCACTTATCAAGATGGATTACAACCTAGGTTTAACACAATATTTCACATGAGAAACAGCCTATTTTTAAAAGCAGTAACACAATAAAGAGGACACAGAATCACGTTCAGAGCTTTAACAGAAGCTCATTTGTCAATCAGATACTAAAATTCTATCATGCAGGTGTGTGTATATAATGGTGATGTCATAATCTGTCACAAATTGATGTTACAGGCTTCCTTTGGGGTTTCGGGGGTAAATGTACAACTTCACTGTCTTATATATGTGTCATGTGCGGCCCTAAATCACCTTTAATCAGTGGCAACTTGCCTTTAACTATCAGTGACATCATCTCTTGTGCATACACAGAACTGTGCATCAGGATTTCATGGCGAAAGCCTTCTGAAGGTGCAGAAAACCAAAAGGAGATAATAACAGCTGCTCAGGTTCATGTGGGTACTGCCAGTTCTTCAGATATATTTGTGATGCTCAGAGGATCATTCACTAACTTTGGGTGATGTTGGCCTACACCATTTTGTATAAATGAAACATTCGGTTAAATATTTACCACTAGGAAAATCCATGATTCAAAAATCTTGAGAGCCGCAGCACACATTACCTACTGATTATTTGTTAATTTCATGGTTTTTTTACAGGTATTATTGTCTGGCAGCTGTGGCAGCTGTGCTGAAATATGTTGAGTTTATTCAAAATTCCGTGTATGCACCTAAGTCACTCAAGATTCGTTTCCATGGAAGTGAGCAAACAGCAATGATTGATTCAACGTCAGCCCTAAATCTTGAATTGATAACTAACAATAGGGATCCAAAGTAAGACAAATATCTTTCACAGCTCTAAGTTAAAGGGGGAGAGAGGAGTTACATATTTTCAGTATAGCATACTGTTTGGATGTAAATACATATCTAATAAAGCAAAGTTTGTTTAAGTCAAAATATATTTTAGATTGTTTGAGTCTGTTCTAGTCCTTTCTGTTCATGAGTCCCTGCAATTGGTATGGCCTCTGTCCCGCAAAGTGCATTTGGCAGAATAGAGAATTTAGCCATTCAAGAACATGACACAAAAACAAAAGGTAGTGAATTTTCTATCTGAATATGGGGCCTTTATATTTCAAGAGTTAATTCCCTCTAGAAAGTACCCAATTCAGCTTACGTTTATTTGTGTGCACCTTTGCTGCAAACCCCACCCCCACCCCCGGTATATCTCTTTACAATAGCTAGCAAGGAAAAACTGTTTTCAGATTTGAGTAACAGACAGATGTGAGTAATTTATACATAATATATTTTAAAATATCATGAATCAACCATTGTGTCTCTGTCTGTCTGTCTCTCTCTCTCTCTCGCTCTCTGTGTGTTATAGTCTTTAAGTAAGATCTGAAAGCTGCTTACCTTGATAATAAGAGAGCCTGCTAAAATTAAGTCTGCAATTCTATATTTGATAGTAAGTCCCATTACTATTAACAGGTCTTATTTCTGAAAAGACATTTAAATAATTGCATTGTTAATCTAACATATCTTCCTACACAAGTCTTTAGACAGTGACAGATGCTGTGCTTATGGCTTCAGCAACAAGCAATCTTTTTCTTCACTTCCAGTCTTTTGCATAAAATCTCCCCCCAAATTCTAGAGAATGGAAAAGCTTGCTCATGTATTTTGTGAAATGTTGGGTTGTCCTTGTAAAAATATTAAACTACAGTTAACCTTCAACTTACGAACGGCTCTAGTTACAAACATTTCGACTTAATGAACTGCTCTGATAGGAAAATATGGACTCGACTTGCGAACTTGGCTTCGAGTTATGATCAGAAAAAAGTGCGGAGTAGGCAGGGAAAATGGGAAATTTGAACTTTNAGTAGGCAGGGAAAACAGGAAATTTGAACTTTCAGTTAGCGAAGTGGCTGCTTGTCTGCTTCCAAGTGCTTAGAGAGTGGGAAGAGAGACCTGGGACTGCCTGGTATTGTCATTTTTAAATGTAAAATTTAGTTTAAAAGGTCCTTTGTTTGGGTTAAACGGTGCTTGGGAAAAAGGAAGCTCGGTTTGAGTTAAAACCTGCTTGGGTAAAAACGTGCTTGGTTGCTTTAAAAGCTGCTTGTTTTGATTTAAAAGGTGCTTGGTTGAAAAGGTGCCTGTTTTGGTGTAAAAGGTGCTTGATTTAAAAAGTGTTTTTTTTAAACAGTGTTCGTTCATTCCCTCTGTGATTTCCTGCCTTTTTTTAACCTACGCCATCTTAGGTTAAAAAAAGAAAAACCAAAAATCTGCCCCTAGTGGTAGGAACTGATTAACCGGCTTTGCATTTGTTCCTATGGGAACTAATGCTTCTAATTACAAATCGCCTCTCGACCTAAGAACCAAAAACAGCCGGAACAGATTAATTGGTTTTCAATGCATTCCTGTGGGAAATGCTGATTCGAGTTACAAACTTTTCGACTTACAAACATCCTTCCGGAACGGATTAAGTTTGTAAGTCGAGGGTTCATTGTACTGTGGATTTTGGTATTTGCCATGCAGTCCAACACAGTTGGGTTTTTTGTTTTTTTTAAGAAAAGGTGAACTCTGTCTTAGAGGTATAAATTCTGCTTACATTCATCCATGATTTGCAAGAAAAATGGGGGAATATTCTTACCATGCTATAGTGAGATTTAACAAAAGAAAAATATGCTTCTTCTTTGTGGTCTCTCTGAATGCACACTAATGGGTTAACCTGCACAAAGATCTCCGGAATATTCTAGAGCTTTATGCTAATCTATGTAGGACCGCCTCTCCTCCCATCCACGAGGTCCACCCGCCCTCCAGGCACTCAGTTCCTTTTTACCACCGCTGCATGAGGTCTCAGAGCTGCTGCTCTTTCGCTGTCGCGATTCCTATAAAATAAGTTTTTTCTCTTTAAGGACAGTTTTTTCTTCTCTCTTTTCGTATCATTAAACAAGAAGAGACTATTTCCTACCGCCTCCCTTCCCCTTTCCCCCCAGTTTTTTTCCCTTCCCGCCATTTATGGCAAAGAACCCACCCACCCCTTTCAAGAAGTGCATAGAGTGTTTCAATAAGATCTCTCTCTCAGTCACAAATATTGCCTTTTCTGTTTGGGGGAGACCCACCAGACCTCTTCCTGCCAATTTTGCAAAAACTTTACAAAACAGGCTTTAAAGCTGAGAGAGCAACACTTAAGGGAAAAATCGCTCAAACCTCTGACCATGGACACTCCATCAGTTGCTGAGCCTCCTTCACACCCTTCAGCTTTGACCACTACTTCTCCTACTCCTTCCAAGGCTTCTCTCACACCGAAGCACAAATCTCAGGCACCTCCGTCTGCCAAACCATCTTTGGCACCACCGTCGCTCCCGCCTTCTGATTCCACTAAACAGAAAAAGAAAAAGCCATCTTCTCAGGCACGACCTACCCCAGTACTGGATCTTCCGGTATAGGATCAATCTACGATCCATATTGATTTGTCGGAAGACACGCTCCTGATCCTGTCTGCACAGCCTGAATCTCCTATACTAGCTCAACTCCCGATTTCACCGGTCAAGGCGGATCTGACTATGATATCATTGTCTCCGCATTCGAACCCACCTTCGACCCATCGCTCCACATCTGTGGGTAAGTCGGATTCAGCCTCTATGGTACCGCAGTGTCCTCTCCCACATAAGAGGCAAAAGAAGGAGCGACATACTTCCCACGGTACCGACCTGGATAGATCCACTACACCTACTGGGTCCATTCCATCCAGGGAACCATCCCGAAGGCAGAAGCATTCCAGGAGGGTCAGACTCTACCAATCCAAGGAGTATTACGACCCAATCTGTAAACACTCCCGGTTCCGGACTCATCAGTACCACCCTTCCGAACTCTATTACTACCGGGATCATCTGTACCGACACCGCTATTACTATGATATGGACACCTCATCCTCATATCTACGGTACAGACACCGGTACTGAGATGATAACCAATCCCGGTCCTCATCAGAGGTTGACTCAGTACCGGAATCCCCAGTACCATCCCGAACGTCCAGAAAGAGACGGTACACGGATGTCGCCAAGTACCGTACTGCGCCACCAAAAAAGCCTCGTACTTCAGTACTGTTGCCTCAAAAGTTGGTACAATCTACCACAACCTATTCCAGCCCTCAACCTTTAGCCTCAGGTACCACACAACCTACCAGACCCTGGTACTGAGCCAACATCAACCATCACAAACCCATCAGACACCCACTGCTCTGGTACTATCTTTCTCTAAATCATTCCATACTGCACCTGCTTCGTTGCCTCCTTTCTATGGGCCATCCTCTCCTTCGCCTTCCTCGTGTTCTATCTCATTGCACTCTTCACTTTTGGTACCGGACCAAGGGTCCATCCTGAACTTCCCAACACCAGGCTCTGATAGAAATCGCAATGAACTGTCCCCCTCGGATGACTTCTCGTCATACAGCTCATCCTACGGGTAGCCATGTTGGGTGGCCACACCTCCCAGTCTGGATTTCCATCACATCAGACAATTGGGTACTCACCATTGTCGCCATCGGCTACACCAAAGAATTCACACACTTACCACCCCACAATCTCGTCATAACGTCTCCATCCAACGTCATCCATCAAGAGATCTAATTTCTCATCTCAAAGGACGCAATATTGTTTATCCCCATCATAGAAGACCATCCAAGATTCTTCTCTCGGTACTTTAACGTTCCGAAAAAAAGATGGGGGATTAAGACCCATCCTCGATCTATGGGATCTCAATTATTACATCATTTCCAGACATTTCCAGATGGTCATGCTAAAATGAATGTTGCCCATACTTCAAGAAGGTGATTTGTTTGCCGTCATAGATCTCAGTGATGCGTATTTCCATATTACCGTACACCACCAGCATCACAAATAATCTCTGGTTCGCTGTAGGAGAGCACACCTTTGAATTCAAGGCCCTCCCCTTTGGCCTCTCCATGGCACCAAGAGTATTTACGAAATGCATGGCCCCTGTGGTGGCCAATTTGCGTACCCTGGGAGTTACAGTCTTTCCTTACATAGACAACTAGTTTGTGTTCGCTCTATCTCGCACCCAAGCTCTAAAAGACATTCGCACCACGCTCTCTCTTCTGGTGGATCTGGGTCTCAGAGTCAACGAGCAGAAGTCCATTCTCACACCTACCCAATGCATTGCCTACATTGGCACCGAGTTACTGTAGATTCCACATGGGCGACAGCCTTCTTTCCCCAAGAAAGACTCACAGAAATTCACATCTTAATACAGCAATTCCAACCACACTCTCTTGTCACGGCTCACACTGCCCAACAACTATTGGCCTTATGGCCTCAACAACTTCTACCATTCTTCACGCCAGGATGAAACTTCGCCCCCTCCAATCTTGGTTCCTTACCCTCTTCGACCCCATGACAGACAACCAATCCAAACTTCTGCGGGTAACGCCAGAACTTTCTTCCCAGCTTCGCTGGTGGAACAAACCATGCAACCTATTCATGGGTCGCTCCTTCTCCCCTCTACAACCCGCGATTCAAATCGTGACAGACACAAGCAGCACCGGATGGGGCGCACACTACAAGATACAGATCCATGGCAGGTGGTCATGCACAAAACAAATGCTCCATATAAACAACCTGGAGCTTCTCACCATTTTCAGAGCCCTCAAAGCCTTTGAGCCACTTGTAACGGGCACCGTCGTAGAAATCACAACAGACAACACAACAGCTCTGTTTTACCTCAACAAACAGGGTGGCACCCACTCGCTCCCACTTCTTTATCTAATAGTTCAGATGTGGGAATGGTGTTTGGAACGCCACGTCTTTCCCATGGCAGTCTACATAGCCACGCACGACAATACAGTAGCAGATGGCCTCAGTCGTCTACAAAGTCAAATGCATGAATGGTCACTAGACCACACAATATACCTCAACCTTTGCAATCGCTGGGGAACTCCCGACATTGACATGTTTGTAACCCCCAGCAATACCAAATGTGACATCTTTTACTCCAGAGGTGGAATTAGATGCGAATCCATGGGAGATACTGTGATGGCAGATTGGTCCATGGACCTCATCTACATGTTCCCTCCCTTCCCGCTCCTTCTGCGCTCCATAGCCAAAATCAGGCAGAACGAAGCCAACATGATCCTGATTGCCCCTCGATGGCCGTGGTTCACACTCCTCAAAACACTGAGCAGCAACTACTTCTGACTGCCGCTGGTCCTGCACCTGCTCTCGCAACACCACGGCCAAACTCACCACCCAGACATACGGACTCTCAATCTCACAGCCTGGAGAATCTCACTTCAGTAAATGAGATCCTCATGCACGGAAGCCTTCCACAACTAAACTGTACTACAAGTGGGCTAGCTTCACAAAATTTGCTAAGCAACTCAACTTACCAACCTCGTCTACGAACCTCGACACTGTTCTACAGTTTCTATCCCACCTTTTTCATAATCATCTCTCTCAACACTGAAAGTCTACCTATTTGCAATCGTAGCTCACCAACCGCAAACCTCAAGACGCCTCCATGCTCGTCCGTCACCCAAAACTCAGTTTCTCCAAGGTATCACCAACATCCTGCTCCTTCACCACCTCTACAGTGGTCCTTTTCTCTTGTACTGCACTGCCTCTCTTGCCCTCCATTTGAGCCACTGACCACTACGTCTGAATACCTTATTTCACTGAAGACGCTGTTCCTCATTGCTATCGCCTCCACGCATAGAGCTTTGGAACTCACGGCTTTGAGGACCGACCCTTTCTCCAGTTCCATCCTGATAAGGTTACCTTATTCCCAGACGTCTCATTCCTACTGAAGGTGGTGTCAACTTTCCATTTGTCACAGCCTGTTATTCTTCCCACATTCTTTCTGTCCCCCACAACAGACCTCAAGAGATCATTACACTCTCTAGACATAAAGAGGACCCTCTCCTTCTACCTCTCCAGGACTGCCTCTTTCCGAAAGTCCAAGAGACTCTTTGCATCTCCGCACCCCCCTCACAGGGGCTCCCATGTGTCTTCACAAACTATCTCCAGGTGGCTGGTTTCCACTATTAAGCTGGCATACCAAATTGCCAAACGACCTTTATCTGATGGCATCAAAGCTCATTCTATTAGAACCCCTGACACATCTGCAGCTTTCCTTCGTGGATTCCCCTCCCGGACATTTGCAGAGCTGCCACATGGTCCACGCCATCCACATTCGCCGCCCACTACAGACTAGACCTGAGGGCCAAAGCTGATGCCTCCTTTGGACGGGCTGTGCTGTCTTTGATCATGTCATGACATCCGTCTGCCTCTGCGGTAAGCTGGTTAATCACTCATTAGTGTGCATTCACAGAGGCCATGAAGAAAGAGAGGTTACCTACCTGTAACTCTGGTTCTTCAAGTGGTACTCAGTGAATTCACACTTCCCACCCATCCTCCCCTCTGTCTGTCACTCCTGCGTTAAATATGCACTGGCGAACTACCTATAGAACTGAGGTGCCTAGAGGGCGGGCGGACCTCATGGATGGGGGGGGTTTCCTATATAAATTAGCATAACGCTCTAGAATATTCCAGAGATCTCTGCGCAGGTGCAGAATTAACCCGCTAGTGTGAATTCACAGAGTACCACTCGAAGAACCAGAGTTACAGGTAGATAACCTCTCTTTTTTTCCAAATATGCTTTTTTCATTCACTTCATGAATTTCCTAAAATGGGCAGTCCTGGGAAATATAATAACAGTTGCCTTCTTTGCTGTATGAAGTAGAAAGCACTGAATGTGTTTTGTGTGCCCTGTGTGTTTGGGCTATCCTGTAGAAAAATCTTGGCACTCCTAAGAAGTGCATTACTATCAATATTAATCTCTTCCTTTTCTTGTTCCCAGTATAGACACAATTGGTAAATAGTGCTATTAGGTTCTGTATACTATCAGTATAAATTCTTGTAAAGAGAAACCTCGTTTTTATTGATGAAGCATAATATTTTTGAGCAATTATATTTCTTGACAACAGCTATACAAATGATTAGTTCAGCTTTGTCTCTTTTGCATGAGTATTCCCCTTACCTGAAGAGCAGGATCAGAGCAGTTCTTTACAAGCCACCAGTACTCTTTCCCAAGCCCTACAATCTGCTGCTGTACTGAGAATAAGGTGAAAGACACTACAGGCTCCAGACTTTCTTGTCACCTTTATTCTTTCCACATAGCGCACAACTTCCAGCTGAAAAGGATCAAAACACGTGGAAGAAGCACATTGTGAAATGTTTTTAGGGCTGTTTCTATACTGTTAAGCTTTGGTTTTGTATAATAGCTGAAAGTGAAATAAAGACAGAGGTTCCATGTGATGGCTGAAATCCTGTTGCTTAGCATAATATTCATAATGCTACAGTTCTCATGGGGAGGGGCATGCATGCATGCACAAAACCAGTTTGTGCACATGAACCCACTGAGAATCATGGTAGAGTCTCTATTTTCCGGCTATAAATGGATTGAAAGTTATGAACAGGATTTTCACCACCATGTTTACTAGGGGCATTAATCTAAAATAGTTGGATCAATATCTAAGTAAATATGCATAGGATTAGGTTGTGAGTATGATACAATATGAGAGGGACATGGTGGCACTGCGGGTTAAACCGCAGAAGCCTCTGTGCTGCAAGGTCAGAAGACATGCAGTCGTAAGACCGAATCCACACGATGGAGTGAACCCCCATCGCTTGTCCCAGTTCCTCGCCAACCTAGCGGTTCGAAAGCATGCAAAATGTGAGTAGATAAATAAGTACCACCACGGTGGGAAGGTAACGGTGTTCTGTGTCTAGTCGTGCTGGCCATGTGACCATGGAAGATTGTCTTCGGAGAAATGCTAGTTCTATGGGTTGGAAACAAAGATGAGCACCGCCCCCTAGAGTCAGACACGACTGGACAAATTGTCAAGGGGAACCTTTACCGTTATGATACAGTATTATTCACCAGTGCCTTTTATGAGGCTCAAAATTCTTTTGTAATATATATTCATGAGTGAATCCATTCAAAAAGATTTTTTCCAATCTTAATTAAAAGTTTCAAGTTTGTAAGACTGTTAAGTTTTATTATTTCCTGTTAATCGCTATTTATTTGGAAATATGAACACAAAAATGAGATATAAGCAATAATTTTACCTTTCCAACTCCAATGGGAAGAGAAACAACTAAATGCATTATGAATTAGAAATAAATTGGGCCCATTGAAATGAATAGAGCTTTAAATGAATGGACAATAAAATGATTTGGATTGGGATGCCTTGACATAGGAGAGGAGTCTATACATCCCCAGTGGGAACTGCTTCGCACCCTGTTCTCAATGTGGTGTCCAGCTTTTTAGTTTCTTAGTTGCAAAATTAGATTTGTATGATCACATACACTGTTAAAATGGTTTGTATCAACTTTATTTTGTGAAATGATTTTTCCAATATGTACTGTCTTTAAAGGAATGGCCACAGTCTTTTTGGAGTTCTAAATTATACTAAAACACCAGGGGGAAGCCGCCGACTTAGGTCTAATATTTTAGAGCCTCTGATAGATGCTGATAGCATTAACACTAGATTGGATTCTGTTCAAGAGCTACTTCAGGATGAGGAGCTTTTCTTTGGTCTTCAGTCAGGTAATCAAATATTACTTTATAAAAACCGTGAAAGGTTTCCTGTAATAAATGATTGGTCAGAGTATATCATTTCTTTTTTCCAACAGATTTTTTAAATATCATTAATATCATTAATGTATCATTAGTTCAGCCTTAGTTTGTTGTTGTAGGTCAAATGCATGAATGCACTTCTGGAAGTTTGCTTGTTTTTTTTACAATTAAACTGCAGGCATATGGATCACCAAATTTGAATGGAACAGGAAAAGTACAGTGGATCCTTGACTTACAGACGGCTTGACTTACAGACTTTTTGAGTTACAGACTTCTCTGGCTGCAAAATTTAGGTTTGACTTGCAGCCTGAGAATTGACTTACAGACCAGAAAAAAACCAAAATGGGACAAAAATGGCCTGTTACGGGATTAATCGGTTTTCAATGCACTGTAGGTCAATGGAGACTTGACCTACAGACTTTTTGACCTGCAGCCACCGTTCCAATACAGATTAATTCCATAAGACAAGGGTCCACTGTACTGGAGAAAATGGGTTTATGAGGTTTAATTCCTCCCAATGTCATACCCCCCAAGCTAACCCTTGTTCAGTCCTACATGTGACTTTCCATTAATAAGTAAGGCCTGTTAAGTTCAATTAGGCTGACCCCTGGATAAATGAGCATAGGATTGCAGCATTAGTATACAGTGGAAATTGGATAGTACAAGATACTGATTTTTCATTTGCAAATCTAATAGTTCTTCGTGGTCTTCTGTGTTTCACACATTGGATTCTGTACCTGCTCAGTTCAACATATGGAACATTCTGGAAATATTAAACCTACTTAGAAACTTCTCCCCTCCCTCGCCATCATGCATGCTCTAATCGTCCCTTGAGATGTTTCCTCAAAATGGCAAGATTTCTCTGGAGCTTTCCGTTTTTCTCTAAAGATGCTATTTTTGAATAAGTTGCTGATTTACCTTATTTTCCACTTTCCACTTTGTTTTTCCCCCTATCTTTGCCCCTTTTCCCCTTTAAAAAAACTCATGCCTTTATCCCTCACATTTTCCCCATCCTTTTTTCTTCAATAGTTTATGGCTTTTATATGCCTCTTTAAAAGGTGTTCAGATAGTGAGGTTTGAATCTCAGAATAACATATTGCAAAGTTTCCCTTTGTAACTACAGTGGAACCTCGACCTACGAACGTCCTCACCTACGGACTTTTTGCCTTGTGGACTGCTCCAGCTGCAAAATTTAACTTTTGACTTGCAGCCAGAGCTTCCACTTACAAAAAGAAAAAGGCAGGGGAAAAGGGCGGGAAATTCAAATTGCTAACCATTTGTAGGCAAAGAGGTTGCTTAGCTGTTTTGCCCCAACAATTAGGGAAAGGGAGGCTCCCAGGCTTCCCCTGCCGCCGCTGCTGCTGGGAGCTGAGCTGCACCAGGCGATCCCAGCCATGCTCGGTATCCTGGACTTCCCCCACTGCTGCCGCCATTGCTGCTGGGAGCCGAGTAATTGTTTTTCTTCGGCCGGTTATGGATTAATCAGTTTTCAATGCATTCCTATGGGAAATGGAGCCTCGACGTACGAACTTTTTGACCTGCAGCCACCGTTCCAATATGAATTAAGTCCGTAGGTCGAGGTTCCACTGTATTTATATTTCCTATGGGGATCTTTATGGAGGCTGAAAAGTAGTATATAAAACTAGCTATATATCTATAAGTAACATGCACAGAGAGACATTAAGAAGAGGAACTTGATAAGCCAATAGACCAATTCTCTGTTTCATACATATACAGTGGTACCTCAACTTGAGAACGTCCCTACATACGAATGATTCGAGTTAAGAACGGCTCTGTTCACAAAAAGTTGCTTCGACTTGAGAAGGGAGCCTCGACTTAAAAACAAAACAACAACAACAACAACAACAACAACAACAAAACTTTCCTGCCCTTTTTTTTAACCTAAGTTCACCTTAGGTCAAAAGAAGAAGAAAAAATTTAAAAACCCGCCCCCTAGTGGTAGATATGGGCTAACCAGCTTTGCATTAGTTCCTATGGGAACTAATGCTTTGACTTAAGAACAGAGCCTCAACTTAAGAATGAAAAACAGCAAATACGGATTAAATGGTTTTCAGTGCATTCCTATGGGAAATGGTGCTTCGACTTAAGAACGTTTCGACTTAAGAATGCAGTGCCAATATGGATTAAGTTCTTAAGTCAAGGTACCACTGTACTAAAAGCAAAAAAAAGAAAGAAAAGTAGTTGCATCGATCATTTACTTACCTTAGGCGATGACTGCACTGACAATTGAGATAGTCAGGTTCATATTATTTTGTGCTTACTACACAGTGTCAATGCAAATCAATCCAGAGTCCCGCCTCCCTGAAAAAAATCTACTTTTTTGCATGCAAATGAATTTGCATTGGTTCAGGTGGTATGGTCGCTTGAGCAGAGGCAGAAAAATGTATGTAGGTGCGCTGATGTTTGTTTAATGGGATGGGAAGAGAGGGAGCAACGGGGCAGTTGTGGGGATAGCAGTTCCTCTGCACCGAGCACCTCTTGTCCCTAAATTCTATGCTTTGGATTTGCAAATACTGATTCTCCACCAGATGCCTTAAATTTCTATCCAGTACTCTCCCCCATCTTTTAAAAAATAGAATAGGTAGGTTTCTGTCTGAAGCCTTTTGAGCAAGTCCTTGTGTTAACGCAATCCTGGGGCAAAGTTAACATTTTTCTTTTTTGGTAACAGCATTCTTGCTTTGCAAAGTGAGAAGGTAACTTCTTTTTTAAAAAAATCATTAGATTTCATATAATGTGATTCAGAAGACAGTTCCAAATGTCTGGATAGGGTTAAAATAACAAATTAGTGTCTGTTCATAGAAGATGTCCATTAGTAATCCCGATGGGTAGAAAGCTGTGACCTTTAGTCAGGGAAAATCCCTAAAAAAGAGTGCTTTGTGACCAGTACAGGGACCAGCACCTGTGAATTCTGAAGCCACTTACTGCCTCATATGAACAAAATCCAAAACCAATTCAGACCTGTTAGCTATGCCAGCCCCAATGTTGTAGTATGGCAGGGAACTGGAAAAGTAATAATCTGCCTTTCTGAAAAACCCAGGAAACCACCACCCAACTTTTGCCTTGGCTACTGTAAGCCAGCAGGCTGATAATGAGGTAGTAGATCTCTTTTGCCTCTCCTGAGACCCCACCATCTCCAATTAAGATTGTGGCCTCTGTGAGTCCACACAAATGGGTATTACTGTGCCTGTGCAGAACTCCTCAGAATATTCTAGAGCTTAAAAACATGTGATTAGTAGGACGTTCCCCATGGCACACATGCTCCGCCTGCCCTGATACCTCAGTTCCTTTTAGCTGCCGCTGTTCAGACTCCTTTGCGACTACCAGAAGAATTTCTTGACTTATCTCATGGTTTTCTCTGATCTTACGGACTGTTTCATGTTTACGATTCTTGGATCATCGGACTTCATCTGTTTTTCATTTACGGATGTTTCCCTGTGAGTTATCTTTTCATTTTGTCTTTCCCCACGTACCTTCCCACATTTTTATGGCCTCTTCAGGCCCATTCAAGCGTTGTGCGATGTGTGCCAATAAAATTCCATTCACTGATGGCCACAACTGCTACTTGTTGTCTCAGTGAGAGACACTAGACTCACCCCTGTCCCAATTGTAAGAAGCTAACAAACCGTCTCTCAAGCTCCAGTTACAACCACAGTGGTGCCTCGCTTGACGAGGATAATCCGTTCCAGCAAAATCGCTGTAGAACGAAATCACCATCAAGCAAAAGTAAAAAGCCCATTGAAATACACTAAAATCCGGTTAATGCGTTCCAATGGGAGAAATACCTCAGCGTCCAGCGAAGATCCTCCATAGGGCGGCCATTTTCCGGTGCCTATAATGTGAGGAATCCGCCCTAAAACTCAGCGGGGAGCCATTTTGCACAGCGGACAGCCATTTTGAAAACCCGACGATCAGCTGTTTTGATCAACGTTAAGCGCAAAAATCAGTTCCCAAGGCAGGGAACCGATCATCGTCAAATGAAAAAAAACCCATTTAATCATCATTTTGCAATCACAATAGCAATTGCAAAAAACTAGTTGTCAAGCGATTTCCTCATTTAACGAGATAATCGTCAAGCGGAGCACCACTGTACTTTGATCATATCTGTGGGAAGAGTAAATAAATATGAGTAGAGAATATAACATAGGCTAAGATTTTAGCACTGTAACACAATTAATTATTCAGTCAGGATTATATTTTGGATATTGTGTCATGGTAAACACTTCCCTGTGTGTTTTGTTTTGTATGTGTTGTCTGTCTGTTATATAATAAAATATAAGTTTTTTTAAAAAGAAAAGTCTTTGAAACCTTCCAGTCCCTCAACCAGTCCCGCAGTGAAACCTATTTTTCCCGTCCCTTGATCTGAGCTCTCTGTTCAGTCGACTCCAACTATTTCTTCTCCGAAGACTTCATCTAAGGCGTCCAGGCCAAAGACTTCTTTGGCACTGACATTGACCTCAGTGTTGAAGGCGCCTTCAGTCTCTACTATGGATCATACCCCGAAGAAGAAGAAGGATGGAGGTAAACAAAAGAAGACTGAACGGGTGTCTAAGTCTATTCAGCCCCGTGAACCTCCAGCTGTTCACATTTCCCTCCCGTCCCAGATCTTGGAGGAGTTGTCAAGGGACATCCTGGACTCGGATTTCCATTCAGAGGCTGGAGAGTCGGGACCGCCTCCACAGGCTCAAGCTTCTATGTCGATACCGACCTTGTTCCCATGTCATGGCTGTCTGAGGTTGATGTCATCTCTAGCCCGGTCTTGGCCCATTCTAGCCCCATTTTGATCGGGCGGGCAACAATAACTCAGAGGCATCGGTTCCTCAATCTTCGTGGAAGCGATCGGCAGAACATTGCCACATCTCTCCAGCTCGACAACATTCACAGTATAGAGAAGTGATTCTTGTTCCTCGTCAATCTCGACACCATTCGGTGTCGGAATATGGTGAACCCCT